TCCAGCTGTAGGGCCAGTCTCCGCGTACAGAAGTACGCAAGGCGGCGAGACAAGTACGCGGACTGAACGAATTCCCCAGAGTACTGTGAAGACATGACCATCAAACTCCCTTAGTTCTCTCCAAGGGACATTGCTCTCACGCCTTATTCCTCCTCACATCCTCCCTAGACCCCCCCATATCCTAGGCCTTACTCGAAGCAGCAAAGGCAGCAGTAGTTTAAGTAATTCATCCTCTCCAGGGCGGATTTTCTCAAAACACTCAAGTACCCAGGTCAGGAACTCATGTCTGTCCAGCATTCCATCCTGTGGGTACCAGGAGTCGGAAGAGAGTTAGTTTCACCCAGGGACTCTTACAGAGATGAGATTGATAAAGCAAATGAAAGGACGAAGAGAACCATAAGTGGGGCAAGGTGGCAGGCGGATTCTGTTCTGTGCTGGCAGGGTATGAGGGCAGGCTCAATCCCACACCCCACACGCCACGCCCTCCTTCCTACCTGAAACATGAACATGGCCAGCTTCTCGTTGTAGTCCCACTGCCGGATTGCCACCTCTACATCATGGGGCAAGGGCCCTATAGTGGAACCACAGCCCCCACTTCCAGCAGGCCCTGGCCGGTAGTATTCAGCCATCTTTTGCAGCTGCTCCCATAAGTACTTGGTGATAATCTGAGTCCATTCTAGGGGAAAGATGGGAAAAAGGCGATTTGATCCCATCCTTCTCCTTAGAACACCTTCTGTCCCCCACCCCACCCCCAATCACCATACTTATAAATCCTATTCATCCCTTTTAGGCTCTAGTCAAATGCCACCTTCCTAAAGCCTTCCTAGGTGTCCTCAGAAGAAAGACATCTTTAAAAAAAGTCATCTTTCTGTCCACTGAAGTCTCAAAGAAACTTCTGCCTCTACTTTTGACACTACATCCTATACTTAATCATGTGAGTCATACACATGCCTTAGCATCTCTACTAGGCTATAAGCATCCTAAGGGCAGGGGTTGGGTGGTGGTCATCTTTATAGCCCAGTACACACACACACACACAGAGTAGATATTCAAGATAATTGATGTTTACTGATTGAGTAAATGCAAGATACAAGGAATATAGATGAGGAAGGGGAATAATTTCAAGGATCTCTCTACCACTCCTTGAAGCGATCAATGGTGGGACCCCTGGTATTAGGAGTTACTCACCTGTGAAGGGGTCAACGACATGTCGCTTCTTAACCTTGGTCTCAGACATTGCTGCATAGTAGGCACAAGTCATCTTAATGAGCCAGGCAGCCCGCATCACAGGCACTGTGTATTTGGCTAAGTACCCAAACACTTCGTCCTTCTTACTGAAAATGGGGACCTGGATGGACATGGCAAATGGTGAGACCTCTGTTACCCCCGTGAGCTAGCATCCATGTAGCTTAATTCAGGAATCGGAGGGTACTTGGTACCCAGGCTCCCCTCCCTGGCCTGAAGAACAGGAAACAGTACCTCACCTTTTTGGCTAGTTGTGTAAGTGGCTTGGTGCCAGCCAGGTCAGTGAACCAGGTGTTAATGGCACTCTGGGATCGTGGAGTCACCAGCCAGAAGTTGTCCTTCTGGTTCACTTGGGGCTTCCTGCGACCAGTGTCAGGGAGGGTGTTACAACGTAACTTCTCTGCAATAATGCTGCTGAAGTTGGAACTGATCTGAGGGAAGAAAACTACACCTCAGGGTGGCAAGAAGGGGCAGAGAAGTGGTCGAGCCTCTGATGGGCAAATGCCAATATGGTAGCATTACGTTTTGAAGGAAAACTCGGCCCTTTAGGTCGTCCCTTTAAGTCTTCCCAACCCAGGGCCTTTGCTCCTTCTCATATTCTTCCAGCCTTTTCCTTCAGCCTGGCAGGGTTGTCTCACCTTGGCAGGATTAAAGTTGACGTTCTTGGCACTGCCATGTTCATCCCCAGAGACAGCAGGCTGGTTATTGAAACCTTGTTTTACATTCAAGGCCGTGAGTTCATCCTGAGGCAAGAAAACGACATTTTAGCTTTTTTTTTCCCTGAGCGGTGAGTGGTGGGAGAGGAGGGCAGAAGAGAAGGGAACAAGGCGGAAATTTTTGAGTAGAACAGACTGTTACTTAAAGCTAGGCCCTTATAGTCATTGGACCCCACCCTCACCACCACAGTCACTAAGATTCCCAATCCCCCAGAGCTCGCTCCGCAGCACTCTTCCCTTGCAAGCAGCCGTAGCTCACCAAGCTGCCTGAGACAACTTTCTGAGGTACGTGTGCGTAGAGGGGGGCGCCTCCAGCGCAGCCCCTACATCACTCCCTATTCGCACCCAGGGACCCCTCCTCCGACCCCGGACCCCCAGGTCCTACTCTCCTCCACCAGCCCACTTTACTCTTCCCCCTTTCGGGACTTTCGCTCTCACCAAACCGCCCCGCCCCCCCTTCCCCGAGCCATCAGTGCTTCCTCCTTTGCCGATCGCTGGCCCCTGGCCCATCGAAAGCCTTGATTTTTGAACGCACCTCCTTCTGTTTCGGATCTTGAGGGTACACATCGGGAGGCCCCAGCCGCGGCCGCTTCAGGGGCCGGTGTTCGTAGCTCAAGATCCCGAAGGCCGCCATCTTGCCCAGCCCGTAGCGCCAGAGGCGCCAGCCGGCCCGGCCGCGGAGGGAGGGGGAGAGGGAGCCGAAAAGGAGGGGGGCGGCGGTTGAGAGGACGGCAGCCGAGAGACAACAAGGCGGCACGTTAGAAACTCTCGATCATTGCCGGAAACTACCGAGGGAAACCGAGGGACGCCGGGAACCGTCGGACAATACCGACCGCAGCGGGGGGCGGGGCCCAGCCGGCGTGGGGCGGAGCTCCGCTCCCGGAGCTTTTCGGCCCCGCGGCCGGAGATCGGTTTCACGCTGTGAGTAGCTCGGCAACATCCGCCAGCCGTGTGCGCTGCGCTTGGGGATACGAACCTGCGAGGCGGGAGCCAGCTGCGGCTCTGAGCTCCGACTGGAACAGGGTTCCCAGCGCCTCGCTCAGTTCTTGGCCTAGAATAAGTGCTCGATCGTCTGTGCCTTGAGTAGGAACTCTGCCTTTTACAAACCCCTTCTTCGTGTCTTAGTTTCCGCATCTGAAAAATGGGTGTACTGACACCTCCTTCAGAGGGACTATCGTGAAGATTAGAGACTATGTATGCATAAGAAAGCACCCATTAAAGCCTGAAAGGCCGGCTTTAATACCTCAAGGTTTTTATGGTCTAGCAGTGAGGTTCTTAACCTTTTCTGATTCACAATACCTTTAAAATGCTGGTGGAAGCTATGGCCCTTCTTCCCAGAAAAATGCACGTAGAGATATACAAAATGGTAGACACTTTGCAGGGAGATTCTTAGATTCCAAATCCTCCCCCCCCCCGAAATTAAAACGTATGTCCTCTGAGTGTCCGTGAACTCCAGGTTAAGAACCCTTGCTCTATCTAAAGAGGCACCTACTAAGTGTCAGATGCTTTTCAGACATTACCTCCTTTAATCCGCAAAAAAACCCATGAGTTAGGGGTTATTCCTGTCTCCATTTTGTGGTTGAAGTTCACTTGCCCTATATCATACAGCTACTGAATAACAGAGTGGAGACCAGGATTTTTTCTTGACTCTCGATACCCGTTCTATCATGGTATGTATGGCCTTTTAGAGAAAAGACAGTGCTATAATAAAAATAACAAATAACAATAAATAGGGGAAGGCTATATAGCTCATCGGTAGAGTGCATGCCTAGCGTGCATGAGGTTCTGAGTTCAATCCCCAGTACCTCCATTAAATAAATACATAAACCTAATCACCCCCCAAAATAAATTTAAAACAATAAAACTAGCAAATAACAAATAAAAGTAACAGTAACAAAATGCCATTGAATGACAATCGGAAGACAAATTCATTCTGATTGGGGAAGAGGAAAACATTGGAAGAGGTAACATTTGAGCTAACCCTGAGGAATTTTAACCCTCAGAAAATTAGGGTGAGTTAGAACTTAAGCACAGTGCCTGGCACATATTAAAGGCTCGATAAATGTTTACTAAAGAAACCATTTCTGTAACTAGTGTCTCCAATCAGCTCTGTTTGGCAGAAGATAAATCTGACAGCAGAATAAAGAATGGATGAGAGAGCAGGGGGCCTTTAGAAAGGGAGTTCTAGTAATAATCATGAGCTGAGAGAATGAAAGGATGGTTTAGCACAGTGACTGTGATCATGGAAAGGAGGACACTGATGGGAGGAACACAAAGTAGTAGAGCTGATTGGATTCTCAGGGTGAGAGAGAGAGAGAGGAAGGAATTGAAGATGACATTGAAGTTTCAAGTCTGGGTGACTGAGACGGTGATGATACCATTAACTGAGATATCGACAAAGGAAGAGAAGCAGATGCAGGCAAAGATAAGGAGTTTGAGCTATTATCTGTTATACTATTTCCAGAATCTACTTCTAAGTCCCAGCTTCCTTACCAGTCTCAACAGGGACCCAGCTCCAACAACAGCTAAGGGTGGATATTCTGGTTTGAATTAGGTCAGAGGAAAGGTAGCTATAGACGTGCCCACAAGAGCCAAGACTGTATTTTCGATCCAGCCAAGATGGTAGAGTTTTGACAGAAGTTTCAGGGTGACTACGCCAAGGAAGAAGCATAGCATAGGATGTGGTGGGGGGAGTTCAGACCCTCCACTCTACGGGATAAAATGATTTAGAAGAGAAGGTGGTTGGGAATGGTGGTGGTGGTGGTGATAAATCCTTCCCAGGATCTAGGTTGTCTGAGGATTCTTGAGTCTGGGACATTATTGTATACCCCACTTTAGTCTCTACTTAACACCACGTTACAGTGGTGGTGTTACACCTACAGATTAGATTAACACCTAATCTCCCAGAGGATTTAGCCTGTGTCATAGCACACATTCACCACACCCTCTGTAAAGCCCTGGTTTCTAAGGTTCTTTCCACCGGAAGTTATGACAGAAGGAAATGTGTGGGTGGGGAGGGGTAGTGGGTAAGGGGCCCGGGTTCCTGACACAGTCTACACCCAGGGAACGAAGAGTAAGCGCCATGTTGAAGCCACCATTGCCACTCAGATCCCTCTTATTCCTGCAGCTGCCTCTGCTGGGGGTGGGGCTGAACCCCACAGTCCTCACGCCCAATGGAAATGAAGACAGCACAACTGGTGGGAAACCTGGGACTGGAGGGTATTGGTGAGAAGGGAGGCTGTAGGAAGGGGTCGTACAGAAATCTGGAACCTGCCAGTGGACATTAGAAGGATGTGGGTAGAACTTAAGAGTACTGTGGGGGAGGGCAAGAGGAAAAAGATTCCCGGCCTCAGGCTGTTGCTTCTGCTGACCATCATGTCTTCTCTTCCCCTCCCCCACTTCATTTTCTCCCTCACCTAGGTTTCTTCCTGACCTCTACACCCTCCGGGACCCTCAGCGTTTCCACTCTGCCCCTCCCAAAGGTTCAGTGTTTCGTGTTCAATGTTGAGTACATGAATTGCACCTGGAACAGCAGCTCCGAGCCCCAGCCCACCAACCTGACTTTGCACTATCGGTAAGAGAAGGGAAGAGGGGATGGCACAGAGGAGGGAGAGGAGGTGGGTTAGATGTGAGAGACTGCGTGGGGACCAAGAAGGAGGGTAGCCAGCCTCCCAGGCTCCCCACTGTTTTCTCGTGGGGTAAGTCCTAAGTCAGTTCAGAGGAACTGAGGCTGGGCTGTGGAAATCTGTAGTACTCAAGTTTACCTCACTGTTATTCTGCCTTTAAACCCTCTTCCAGGTACAAGAACTCTGATGATGGTAAAGTGGAGTGTGGCCACTATCTATTCTCTGAAGGGATCACTTCCGGCTGTCGGTTGGGGAAAGAGGAGATCCGTCTCTACGAAACATTTGTTGTCCACCTCCAGGATCCACGGGAACCCAGGAGGCAGGATGAACAAATGCTAAAACTGCAGGATCTGGGTAATTTGGAAAGGGGGCCAAGGGATAGTGGGAGGAATTGAAGTATATGGAATGGGGTTCTTTCACCATAAGAGTACTTGGGCAGAAGAGGGGAGGTGAGGGATGGGATGGGGAAGGGAGGAGGGGTCAGGGGCAGTACCTTCAGGATCCTGACTTGTTTAGGCCAGGGGACTGACCACACACGCACACATATCTCCAGTGATCCCCTGGGCTCCAGAGAATCTGACACTTCGCAACCTGAGTGAATCCCAGCTGGAACTGAGCTGGAGCAACAGATATTTGGACCACTGTTTGGAGCACCTGGTGCAGTACCGGAGTGACCGGGACCGAGGCTGGACTGTGAGTGCGTGGGGATAGTGGCGAAGGCCAAGCAAGTGGGGATAAAAGGACTCAATCAGCCAAACTCCTGCCTCCCAGTTCCCCTGGCCACCTTCCACCCTCCGCCAACTCCTTTCCCTATCATTGCCAGTGAGTTTTCCTTAAGGTTTCCCTACCCCTACTCTTCCCAATACCAGACAGGCAAGTAAACAAAAGGAAGCCTTGAAGGGGGTCTGGAGAGAAGGCATTCAAGTCTAGTCAGCGAAGGGAGCAGAGTGGCTTCAGTAGTCAAGAGAAGAGGGAGAAACTAGGAAGAACTGGAAGAAGACATGGGGTGGGTTGGGGGCAGCAGTTTGAATTCTCCCTACTTGTATAGACACCCATCTTTCCCTCGCCCTCTTTCTCTCCCAAGGAACAATCCGTGTACCAAAGACAAAGCTTCTCGCTGCCTAGTGTGGATGCGCAGAAATTCTATACGTTCCGTGTTCGGAGCCGCTATAACCCACTCTGTGGAAGTGCTCAGCACTGGAGTGACTGGAGCCACCCAATCCATTGGGGCAGCAGTACTTCAAAGGGTAAAACGAGTCTAAGGCATCACCCCACCCCATGAGCCCAGTACCCTCAACCTTTCTAGCACCACTATCTTTTGCTCTACCTCCCTCAAACTTGGTGGCCCATCTCCCCTCACTGAGTGTGCAACGCCAACCCCCAGGAAGCAGGGATTTTCTGTGTAAGGTGAGACCAGTGTGTTAGAGTAGGAAGATAGAGGGAGGAGGAGGAGGCTGAGGGGTAGTCAAAGGGCGTATAGAATGTAGAAGATTTGCCTTCAGCATTCCCAGAAAGCCTTCCTGGTGAAGATGGCCTTGGAACCAGGCAAATCTAGGGTTGAAAGCTGCCTCTGCCACTGACCACCTCTTTGACCTTGGGCACATCACTCACCTCCTTTCTTCTGTTTCCTCATCTGTAAAATGGAGATAGTAAGTGCTCCCCCCTCTCAGGAGTTCTGAGCATTCAGTCTACGGAAAGTGTATAGCACAGTGCCTGGCAGCAAGTGGGGTCTCTAAATCTTGGCACATAGTAGGGGCACTACATTTGTTCAGTCTCTTCCTTTTTTCTTTCCTATAGAGAATCCTTTATGGTTTGCACTGGAAGCTGTGCTTATCCCCCTTGGCTCCATGGGGTTGATTGTTAGCCTCATCTGTGTGTACTGCTGGCTGGAACGGTGAGATTTCAGAATCCTGGCAAAATGAGGTGGGAGGCGGGTGGCTGGGAAGAGTAGAGGAGGGTTATCACCGGGTCTCCAGGAGTAGAGGGCAGGACAGTAAGGAATGAGGGATCATCCAAGTGGTCACGGTGATGGAAGGAAGATGCCAGCACAGAGAACACAGAATCACTTCACTCCAGATGGGAGAACTGAGAGAAGGGGAATAAAAGAGCATAACCAATGTTCCCCTGCTCCCTCATTCTCCCCCTCAGGACTATGCCCCGAATTCCTACCCTCAAGAACCTAGAGGATCTGGTTACTGAATACCACGGAAACTTCTCGGTGAGCGCATTGTCATAGGCTGACTGCAGTCTGTCAACTGCCAGCTGCCTGCCAGCTAGACAGAGTATGGGGGCTGGAGGGGGGGCTGCACTAACAGTTAGGATGTGGCCAGCAATTGGGGGATGGGCTAGTGGAGGAAGACACACAGAAGGACAGATCCTAGGCTGGGTGAGGCAGACAGAAACAGTGGTATGGGGAGCCCAGAAGTATGTGCGTGTCCCTTCTGTAATCACAGGGGTTGCAGATGTTGTGAGAGTTCCCTTGGCACAGAGCCTGGCTCTTTCACTTCCTGCTCCTAATTGACCCCTGACCTGGCGATATCTGTCTTTAGGCCTGGAGTGGAGTCTCTAAGGGATTGGCGGAGAGCCTACAGCCAGACTACAGTGAGCGGCTCTGCCACGTCAGTGAGATTGCCCCCAAAGGAAAGACTCTAGGGGAAGGGCCTGGGGGGCTCCCCCTGCAGCCAGCGCAGCCCCTACTGGGCTCCCCCATGTTACACCCTGAAACCTGAAACCTGAGCCCTGAAACCCTGACAGCACCCCAGGGTCCTGTAGCCCTAAATTGTACTAACTTCTCCTCATCCAACTAGCCTGGGTCCAACACTCCCCTCGCCCTGTGCCCTACCCTCCGTGGCTGATTTTGAATTTTGTGCCCCCTCCAGCTGCCCCCTCGTTCAATATCTCCTACTTGAGAATTGCCCCTTTACCCCCTACACGGCCCGGTATCTCATTTCCCCCAACCCAGCCCTTCCTCCTCAGAGGACTGCTTCTTCTGTCCATCCCTCCCGCCCTCCCTCTTTCCATCTACCCTTCAGTTGTTCCAGAATCAATGGGAAATAAAATTTCTGTTGAGAATCCTCAAGAATGTCTGTTGTTGGGGCGGGGAGCAAAGGAAACGGGGGTGCAGTGAGGGTGGGAGGCCTGGTGCCAGGGAATGGATACGTGGACTCATGTGCTGGAGGCAGTAGAAATTCACTAGAAAAGAAGACTGGGCCAGAAACTTTCTTTTCTCTAGGTGTCCTGCGCTCCTTCTGAGGGGCCGCTTAGAGTTAGATGTACCACGTTGCCCCCATTGCCAACTAACCTTTCCTAGACCCAGATTCTTCTTGCCTTATCCTTTCTCCCTCTTCTGCCACACATACCACTTCTGACCTCATAATCCTTCATCTGCAGGCTCAGGCCCCACCCCTAGGGATGCTGGTTGTTTGCAGCTGCCAATAGCTCCTCTCTGCCCAGTCTGGGCCAATGTAATCCTTCTGCCTCTCCGGTCCCCCAAATTTATGGGCCCATATGGCCCCCCAAGTCCCCTAGAACACTCCCTCCTTCTGCCATGAATCATCAAGCCTGCCTCCGAAGAGTGAGAAGATCTTGAGAGCATGTTCATCTTTATCAAACATGGAGGTGAGGAGTACCACAGAGCTGGCATCCAGTCTAGGCTGAGGGTGAGGGGTGTTTGAGGGCAATGGAGATCTCAGGGATGGTGTCTACCTAGAGAAGGGCCACATCACCCTATCCCATCTCTTCTCAGATGATCAGCAGTTTCTGGCCAATATTAATTGTTCTGTCTTCCTGTTGCTGCATTATGCCCGCCGTAAATTGGGGCTGCCGAAAAAAGGTGAGGAGTGTGGGGAGGGGACTGATGCCCAAGGGTCAGAAGTGGTAGGGTCATCTCCAGCCCCTGAGTCCTCCTGATGGCAAAAGGAGAGCTTGTATCTTGACAGCTTCCTCCAACCCATTCTGGATAGGGTCACTGGCCCCTTTTGCTCCCACTGTCCTTCCTTAGCTGCCCCAATTATCCTGTGGCCTCCCTCCAGACACCATCGATTTGTGTGATGAAACGGGGACCATGAAGTTGCTTTTCCTGATGAAGACCCTTGAAGAATATGCCAACAAATTCCTTACAGCTCGAAGCACCTACTACGTTTGTAGGGTGGAGTTTGGGCCACCAGGTAGAGGCTTGGGAGCATTCCCTAGAGATAGAACAAAGCCCTCGAGATGGCCTGGGAACCTTGTCCTTCAGATAAGGCACCCTCAACCAGCTCCAAATAGACCGTCTCTAGTCAGCCAAAGAAAGGGCACTGCCACTATGACCATGGGTAGGTTAGCACATTCTTTGCCCCTCACCTGATCCTAGGGATGGACCTGAGGGGAGGAAATAAGGGACACCAGTTCAAGGTAGTGTTGATTGTGAAGGTCCTGAAATCTTGGGCTTTGGAAGGTTGGAGACTGGGTGACGGGAAGCTGGGGAGTGCATACTGCTGTGTTCACAGGAACTCGATTTGAGAATATCTACCGAGCTTTTGTGCCCCTCCTGAAGAATCCAGAACCTGAGCTAATTGGTAAGGAGTACGATGGAGGAAGGAGGAACACAGAGAGTACTGTACACAGCTAGGTGATGGAGAATATAGGGCATGTGGGACTGCTAGAATACAGCAGGTTGGGTCACAGGATTCTTGGAAAGGGGGGATCGGGTTGAGGTCCGCTTTAGGAGGGATGTTTAGCTCAAACCAGGAGGAGTGTGCGTGTGTTGCTCACCCCCCCTCGCCATTTCTCAACCATCTCCTCAGTACACCTCCCTATCACCACCACATCATTTCCATCTTTCCCTTCATCCTTTTCTCTTGGAGTCTGGGTGTCCCAATTTCTGCTGAAGAGAGCAAAGCGTAGCTTTCAGCTCGGTTGCTCCAAGGGATAATTTGAATGGCGGGAGGGACAGGATGGGTAGGTAAGGTCTCTAGTTTTCAGTGGTGGTGGGGGTGCCTTTTCCTGGTTCCTAGATGCCTTGCGTACACAATGTGACGTCATGGAGAGGAACCAAATCAAAATGCTTAGAAGCCAAGAAGCCAAAAAAGTTTCAACTGAATCCTCCATGAACCCCGCAGTAAGACTTCCCAAATGTGGTCTCTCCCAGCAACCTCCTTCCCCGCCCCAGCCAACCCAAGGCTCCTCCACCCCGGCCTTCTGGGATGAATTTCCTTTCCAAATCCAACACCCATTCCCAAGACCTGCCTCTAACCTCTTTTGTCCAGCCTTTGGCCCTAGTTTGAAGCAAGCTGCCATGCAAAGGGACTTCTTTATCTGCTCACTGTCCCTTTCCTTTTCCAGTCCAGATCAGGACGATCAGACGAAGAGAGGCCCACTCGCAGGGGTCCAATCCTTAAGAATAGAGTGGACTTTCTCATTAGGAGGGATAAATATCGCTGACCAAATAAAGTGACCAAGTGAGAGCAGTAACACTAGGTATGAAATTAGTGGAATTGAACGTGGGGTTCCTGTTTTCAAGAAAGACTTCTCCCAGTTATCTGCACCAAGGCTTAAGGCGCCCGGCACTGAGGAGGCTCTAACGGTGGGGAGGAGCAGCAGGAGAGGGCAGGGACCAGCACATGGGTGGGGGCTGTGGGGGCGAGGAAAGACAGCGAAGTCCAGTACAATGAGCCTTTGAGGGACAGAGTAGGGGGTGGGGTCTTCTCCAACCAGACTACCTCCCTTTGGGAGGCCTATCGAAGCCCGCCTACTCCTGCTGGGGTTAGGTGACTTCTGAGCATCTTCCCTCCCCCCACCACACTCCACCTCAGTCCCCGGCTGAAATTCCCCCACCCCCCACCGGTCTGCCTCTGGGCAGTCCCTACCACCCACCCTCCCCTCCTTATCCAAGGAGAACAGTGAGGCAGCAAAAACCAGAGCTGGTTATAGGCATTTATTTATTGAATTTATTCATTTATTGATTTGACACACTTCCCCACTCCAATCTAGCACATGATACAATCTGGGTAGGCCAGGCGCTGACACAGGAAGTGATGGGAACCCACAGCAGGGGCAGGGGGAGGAGACAAGGCAAAGGGGACTGGGGGAGGGGCTGCTTTGGGGGTTGGGGTGGAGAAGGAGCCCCAGATGGCCTCCCTAGCAGGTGCTAGTAAACCTGATCCACATTCCCCTCCATCCCTGCTCATTTCCCAGACCCTCAGCCAAGCTCCCCAGCTCCCCCTTCCCTGTTCCGCCCCTCCCCCTGCCTGCTACCACACACACTTCCACATAACCCCTGCAGTCAGGCAAGGGGAAGAAGGGCAGGGACAGCTGTCTGGGGCCTTGAACAGGGAGGTCTCTGTGCCTAACTTTACCACCCTAAATCCTTCCCTCCTCTTCTCCCTCCTCCCACCCCCTTCCCAGGCCGCAAACTAATTCCAGGCCTTCAACGCACTCTCCCACTGGAGCACTAAGCCACAGGGGGTCACGTGAGAGGGTGGCTGCACCCCAATGCCACACACTCCCAGGCACAAGGTGACAGAATGAGAGGCCCTGGCTTAGCTTTTCCTCAGGGTACCGCCAAGCTAGTGCTGCACAGACCTTGTTCTAGATCCGGTCCACACTTGCTCCCTGCACCCTGCTGGCCTGGAGTTCTCTGTCACTTCCCCTCTGTTTCCCGTAGTAATGTCTGTAGTGTTTACATCATGTCACTATGACAAAGCCTTCAGAAAGAAAAAAAGCATTCTCCCCATCACTAGCACCTTGCCACTGTTAAAAATCTCTAGATTTGTGTTTATATTTCTTTAAAAGTTTATAAAAAGCCTTTCTGTTATCTGCAGCTTTCCAAGGGGGATTTGGCCTGGTGAGCTACTCCAGTGCTCAGACCTTGGCCCTTCTAAGTCCCCACTAACCCCCTCCCAACCCCACACCGCTGGCCGAAGGGGCCACGGCATAAAAATCCCAGGCTGGACTCAGCCTGGACCAGCTCAGGTAAGACTCTACAAAAAATCCTGCTCCCAAAGGCAGGGGTAAGGCCACTGGTAACTTCGCATTTCCAACAGCATTGCCTGCCCCTGCTGCAAGACCTAGAGGTTGGGGATGGGGGGGAGCCGGGGCTGGCTCCTGAGAGGGGGGCCTTACCCCCTAATTGGCACAGTGAGAATAAACCCTCTCCCTCTCCCCCTCCCCCCCTAGAGTTCCCATATGGGGCAGCTTTATGATTTCCTCAACACCCCTGTGAGCAGACCCTACCCTAGCCCTAAAGCAGGGTCCCAAATTCCCGGGGAGGGGTCAAGGGTAAAGAGTGAATATGGGCACGCCTGGCTCCACCTCTGATGCAGGGAACAAAGCTTCTGGCCATGGCTTAGGGATCTGTGGGAAGAACAAATGGGAGGACAAGGTAAGAGGCTCGTCTGCGGTGTGATGACTTTCCATCATCAGGATTCAGACCAAGGGAAACAGAGACAGCCCTTCCCCCCACCTCTCCTGTGCTACTTTGTAGGGGTAGGCACTGAGGGGCCTGGGGGGGTCCCATCTGGAAACGATGCCATTCTAATATGACATCCTCCCTCCAATTCCTCAGGGGCCCCAGACACCGCCATGTTCTCAATCTCCCCCTTGCTCAAATCACAGGCCTGGCGAGCCCCTAAGGAGTGGGTATAGGTTGCGAGATGCTGCTGTGATTATGGGGTGCCGTACCTGGCTCAAAGTTGAAGTCCAGTCCTTCGTCCCCGTCCATGAGGTCACTGATGATGTTATCCATGTCACACTCCAGGTTCTCCATATACATATCAAGATCGAGATCCTGAGGCATTCGGTCTTGGCTTACAGCTTCAGTTGGAGGGGTGAGCACAGGAGCCCCCAGGGGCTTGGGGACTGGAGCACTGGCCATGACTGGAGGCGGTGCTATCATCGAGAGGCTCGGAACCAGACTGCTGGGGCCTGGAGCCTCTGGGGGCTTAGGGCATAAGCCGACCCCCGGGGCTAGCTTACTGGAGGAAGGCATCCCCCCCAGCAACAGAAGTGTCGGAGCCTGGGACAGAATGGGATCTACCTGGGTCATGAGGACGTCAGCAGGGGGTGGTGGCGTATCAGAGGTGAGCAGGGCCTCGAGAGACTGGGAGCTTGAGAAGCACCCTTCTCCTGCTGACAGGGACCCCTCTGCTGGGCTGAAGAGGGAGGTGCTGTAAGTGTGTAACGGGCCTGAAACCCCAGGGTGCTGCAAAGAGAAGCCGGAGAGGCTGCTCCGAGATAGCAGGGAATGGGGAGATGTGAGATTGAGCCCATCTAACAGCTCGAGATCTTCTTTCAGGGTGG